AGCTGACGTTTTTACACCACGTTCCAGTGTTGCAGGGTCTCATCTCTGTCTGTGTGTCTGCATGTCTGTATGTGTCTGTCTGTGTGTCTGTGTGTGTCTATATGTGTGTCTCTGTGTGTGTCTGTGTGTGTCTGTGTGTGTGTGTCTGTACGTCTGTATATGTGTCTGCATGTGTGTCTGTGTATCTGCATGTCTATGTGTATCTATATTTGTGTCTGTGTGTGTGTCTCTGTGTGTCCTTCTGTCTCTGTGTGCGTCTGTGTGTCCGTGTGCACACACATGGAGGCAGGTGGACAGTTTGCACACCGCTCTCAGCCCCCCCGCCCCCTGCCTCTGGGGCTGTGTGGATGGCTGGGCTGATATTGAACTTGATGATCTGTGCGTCTGTCTGGGTGAGGAGAAGCCAGCAACTCACCATCAGTGGGAAAATAGGAAAAGCTGACTCACTCTGGGGCATTTTTTGGACATCACAGGAAGCCAACGTGGTGATGGGTGGAGGTAATGGTGCAGCCACTGTAACGATTGGATCCCACCCCTCAAGTTGAACAAACCATTTACAGATGAAATGGCGCTATCTGGTAATTGTTCCAAAATAATACAGGAAGGGAAGAAATGGGTGTGAGATAACTGGCCATGAGATTCATTGGGCTCTAGGGCCTACTTTTGTATATGTTTAATTTTTTTTAATGTTTATTTATTACTGAGAAAGAGAGAGAGTGCCAGCAGGGGAGGGGCAGAGAGAGAGGGAGACACAGAATTGGAAGCAGGCTCCAGGCTTTGAGCTGTCAGCACACAGCCTGATATGGGTCTTGAACACACGAACCGTGAGATCATGACCTGAGCTGAAATCAAGGGGTCAGATGCTAAACTGACTGAGCCACCCAGGTGCCCCTAAATTTCTTATCGTAAAAAAAACAAAAAGAAATCAAGAAAGAAGAAAGCATTCTTACATATGTGGATGCACTTGAAATGCATTCTCTCTTTCTCTGACATTTTCTCAGCTTGCTATTTACAGACTCCTTTCGAAGCAACCGCACCCGGGGGGCTCAGGAACAGTGAGTGACATTGGCACCACCCCCCCCCCCTGCCCCCGGACACCTGCTCCAGGCCAACACTGTACTGAACCTCCTCACACAGGTGTTCCTGGCAGCCCTGGAAATGGGGAAACTGAGGCCCAGAAAGGTCAAGTAAGTTTCCCAAGATCACACCACCCTAGTGGTGGACACAGGTCTCAGTCTCCATCAACGTGAAGTCAAACGTTACAGTGCGGTGTGCTCACCCTACAAAGTTAGTCCGGAAGAGCCCCTCCTCACCAGGGGAAATGGGGCTGCACAGGGTCACAGATGACTCCCGTCCGCAGGCTCTGGTCTGGGAAGCCAGGGCCCCATCTTGCCAGGCACACAGAAGCTTGCAGGTAAGATGGGCCCCACACTGCTCTCTTACTAAAGCCTCCGAAACAGACCTCCAGCATCCAGACTGGACAGGAAGAAACAAAACTATGTCTGTCTGCGGGCGACGTGATCTTACGGATGGAGAGCCCTAAAGGATCCACTTGAAACGATTAAAACAAATGAATGAGTTCCACAGAGCTACAGGATACAAGATCAGCATAGAAAAACTTATTGTATTTTTACACCCATTTAATGGACAATCCAAAAATGAAGTTACGGGAAAAAATCTATTCCTAATACCCTCAAAAAGAATAAAACACTTAGGAATAAACTTAACAAAGGGAGCGCAAAACTTAAGACACTTAACAAAACATTGTTGAGGACAACGTAAGAAGATCTAAAAAACTAGGAAAACATCGCAAGTTCATGGGTGAGGATACTTAACATCTCTCAGCCAGATACACTCCCTAAGCTGATGTACAGGTTGAGCAGAATCCAGCTGACCTCTCCGCAGAAACTGGCAAGCTGATTCTAACACTCGTGTGAAATTGCAAAGACAGAGAATAACCAGAACAGTCCTGGAAAAGAGGAACAAAGTAGGAGGACTCGAGTTCTGGTTTCAAAACCCACTACAAAGCACCAGTGACCGAGACAGCACACATCGACACGAACACTGGCCCGTGGAGGAAAAGCACTGTGGCTGACAAGGCCACCAAGACCATTCGGAGCAACTGGTGCCAGGACAACGGAGCAGCCACCGGCAAAAAGATGGAATGTGGACCCCATCTCACAACATATGCAAACACTGACTCAGAATGGACCAAAGACTTAAACGTAAGTGACGAAACTCAAAAACACAGGGGGTAAATCTTCACAATCTTGGAACTGGCGTGGGACACTTAGACCAAGAGCACAGGCGACGAGAGAGAAAATACACACCTGGGGCTTCCTCGAAACTGCAAGCTTCTGTGCTCAAGGGAGACAATATTGGCAAATCACATACCTGACAAAGGACTGGCCTCTGGCCATAAAGGGTCTGACCCCTGAAGGAGAGGAACACAAGTCACCCAGTTTAAACATCTGCAAGGGACCTGAATAGACGTTTGTCTAAAAACAGATGTAGAGAAGGCCAAGAAGGTCACGGAAAGAAGCCCAAGGTCACCAGTCACAGAGGAAATACCACAGTGAGATACCACGACGTTCCCACCAGGAGGGCTGGGAAGGGCTGGGGACACTGGAGACCCCGAACGCGCTGGCGGGCATGTAAGACGGTGGCCCCACGACAGCAACTCCACTGCTAGCACCATGCCCCATGTTCACGCTTGTCTCGAAGCCCAAGGTGGCGGCCTCCCCAGGGACCAGCACTGACGAACGGACACAGAATGTACCCCATCCATTCGCTGGAACATGACTTAGCCATAAAGCACCGCGGTCCTGACACAGGCGGCCACGGGGATGAACCTGGAAAGCACTATGCTGAGTGACAGATGTGGGCCAGGCCGTGCACACAGTCCAGACCGAAAGCAGGTTAGTGGTCGCCCAGGGCTGGACAACGGGCGCCGGCGGGGTGGTTTCTGTTTGAAAGGACGAAATGTCCTCAAACTGGCTGTGGTGGTGGTTGCACACACCCGTTATATGCTAAAGCCACTGCATTTTACACGTTAAAGGGGTGAGTTATGTCTCAATAAAGCTCTTTTTAAAAGGTAAAGAAACAGGCGTCCCCGGACCAAACTGGGTCCTCACCACCCACGTGCCAGCCGCCTGGCCTCCGGCTTCACAGCCGGCTCTGAGCCTTGGGGAAACTGCGTGGAAAAGCAGGTCAGGAGGCTCTCAGCCTGCAGAGCCAGGCAGAAGCACTGACAGAGACCTCAGCAGGACTGGCGATCAGGCAGGGAGGGGTCACAGAGGCAGGGGCGGGTCCGCAAGGGGGGCACAGAGGCAGGGGCGGGGACTCAGGGGGGGTCACAGAAACAGGGGCGGGGCCGGAGAGGGGGTGTGGGGGCGCGCACAGAGGCAGGGGCGGGGCCGGAGAGCAGGCAGGGAGGGGTCCAGCGGGCAGGGGCGGGGCCGGAGGGGGGTGGCACGGAGGCAGGGGCGGGGCCGGAGACACCAGAGGCCTCGAGGGAAACCGGACCAAGGCCCGGGACCTGGTAACATCCCTGACAGCGGGGTTCCAGCTTCTCCCTACCCCCACCAGGAGGCCCTCTCTATCCAAAAGCAGCGTTTGCTGAAGAGAACGAGCCTTGTGCTTGACTGCTCCTGGCAGCCCTAAATCCCTGACCTCTCCTGGGGACAGCAACACTTGAATGTGTTAAAGCTTGGGAGCAAATCGCTTTTCCCTGCAGACTCCTAACCATGGCCCCAGCGGGGGCACAGAAAGACCTTGGCAAGAATCTTCAAGGGTGCCACCTCCAGGGCTCCTTCTGGATTCTGGACACCTCCCTCCTGCAGGAGATCCACCCAGAGGCCAGGGCTTCAAGGACCCCGAGGGCTGACCCCCCAGATCCCCCTACACCAGCACCAGCCAGGCAAGGACGGTGGGGTCATGCACTGCCTGAGGACCTGGCAGGAGCATGGGGTCCCTCTGTCCCCCTCTTCTTAGCCAGCAGCCCAGGGTGGCAACCCACCCTTCTTCTCCTCCAGACTCAGGGTAAAACACTTCTTTCTGCCAGAATCCAAACCTCTTTGTCATGCTTCCTCCCCGGCCCCATCCCAGGACCACCCTCACTTGGCCAGGCTCCTTCTGCCCCAGGGGCCACTTTCTCATCGCGCAGTTATGACAGCGGCCACCACGGCCAAGCCACAGGCCTTCCCTCTCAGCCAGGGAATGGGGGGCACATGGGGTCATGTACTGCAGCCCCTCACACAGTGGACCCCAGGGCAGGTGACCGCAGATTTGGGAATAAGTAGGATGAAGCCAATGCAGGCAGGCGTTAGAGGTGAGTGGGAACCGGCCATGTGGCCCCAAGCCCCCCTGAACTGCTGTCAGAATTCAACACCAGCCCACAGTGAACTGGCAAAATTAACTGCTTACTCTTGGAGCTGTGTCCCCAAAGCAAACAGATCCCAAATCGAAATCATTGATAAAAACACCGCGTTCGCAAAACCGATCAAGGCTGGCGGTAGTCTACTCCAGGACGTGGGGGACAGGGGTCCACCAGGGACCAGACGTGGGGGACGAGCGTGGGGGCCGGGCAAGGTCTGGACCTCCTCTCTGTCAAGTCTGAGTGAGTTTGGCTCCTCTGGCCTTTGCATCTCCCCCCTCTCCTTGGCCTGCGGGAGCCTATACATCATCCTTTAATTTGCTAACCCCCAACCCACCCCATACCCCAAACTCTTCTTTCTGTGCCTCAACTTCAGCTGCCAGGACCACCATGTGAGGTTGTAGGTTTCACCCTACAACCCTAGAAGCAACTGTCACTTAGACTAATTGTGAAGGACGCCCATAAGCCCTGAGGCCAGAGTTGTACAGTGCACAGCCTGGGGAACCTGGGCCCGGATCCTCGGTTGCTCGATTGGGGCCGGGGGCTTCCCCAGGAATACTAGCTGTAGCCATAACATAACACACTCTTACTGCCCACATTTGAAAGAAACAACGTACATTCTTACCATCTGCCTCCGGTTCTCCACCAGGTTGATGCCGATAATCCCTAAGAAAGCTCCAAAGCCCAGCTAGAGGGAAATGGAGAAGGTGCCCGGTTAGCACATGGAGGCTTAGAGCTCACAGGGATCACCAAATCGGAGGCCGCCCGGTAAGAAAACATCTTACCAAAGGGGCAAAGTCACCCCTCCCCAACCACCTTCACCACCTAGCGGCCCACAGGCTCATGCCCATCTCGGTGGCGTCTCGGGCTCCACCAAAGCCAGTGGTAGGAATATAAGCCACTGAAATGCAACCCGTTCAAACAATTTAACTCTTGATCACAGAATAGGGCAGCACAGGCCCCTCACCTCTGGCCTGAGGGACAGCCCCTCACGGTTACCCAGAGGGTGAGGGGCCCACCTGCTTTCCCCCAGACCTGGCGGCAGTCCAAGCCAGAGGCTGGCTCCTCAGGGAAGGTGTGGGGACCAGGCGCCCATAGGTGAGCCGGCAGACAGGTAATCATGGGAGGGGAGGAGGTAAAAGCAGGGAAGGAGGCTCCAGCAGGAGGAGGATGCTGAGGGGCGTCTCCCTATCCTGGAGACAGCCTCAGCTCCCGGCCTCCTCACCTCAAAACCAGGGACCCAGGGCCAGGCTGGACCCGCCACTGAGTGTGGTTCCCTCAGCTTGAGCGACGTCGGACAAGGGACAACGGAGGTGAGCGGCTGGGTAGGGGCCCCGCCTGCCCCTGAGTTTGGGAGGCACCTCTGTGGGCGCTCAAGTCCACGGTGTCAAATTTAATGCCCTGAAAGTCTGACCGCCTTACGGCGACAGAAGCCTGTATCTGTAATGGTGAACGGTGCCTGTGGAGACGGACACATGTGCACAGAGGAAGTTTCCACCTGTAACTGAAGAATTCTCAAGGAGGAAAGGTGAACGTTTTCTTCACGTCCAGCTCCACAGCTCAAAACCATCAGAATTCCAGGCCAACATAATGTATTAAGGTGTTTCCGTTAAGTTTCGCCAACTGGCATGCTCTTTCCAAGATGTGCCTCCAGCCGTGGCTTCATCCTGAGAACTGCTGCTGTCATGCCCACGTGGGACGCGGGGTCTCCTAGGAAGGGATGTTTACCCACATCGTCTTCAGGTGGATTTCATCTGGTCTCCGTAGCTCACCTTCAGAACTGGCCACTGCCCGGGAACCTGGCTCTGCCAGAGGCTTGACCTTTGGGGGGGGTGGGTCCTCACAGCCCTGGCCCCATGTCCAGGGGTCCCCCCACAACACCCGGCAGAAAAGTAGGGCCCCAACATATTGGCAGCTCTTAACATTTTACTTATAAAACTTTTTCTGCACAGACCCTATGTGTTTACTCATAAACAGCACATAAGTAGATAATATAGGTTTATAAAACATAGACAAAAAATAAAAATAAAATATTAATATAAAGATGAAGTGGGAGCGCCTGGGTGGCTCAGTCGGTCAAGCATCCGACTCTTGATCTCCGCTCAGGTCATGACCCCAGGGTCGTGGGATCGAGCGCCATGTCGGGCTCTGTGCTGACACCACGGAGCCTGCTTGGGATTCTCTCTCCCTCTGTCTCTGCCCCTCCCCTGAGCTCTCTTTCCCTCTATCTCTCTTAAAAGAAATAAATAAACTTGAAAAAACATTTTTAATAGAGATAAAGTGAACAATGTATGTGAAATATTTTTAAATATTTAATGTCAAAACCTTTCCATCCTTGCTAAAAATGTTACTAATGTTATTACTAATCTTGATACTTTTAGTGACAGTAATGTGATTAAAAGATCTTCATTAAAAAAGAAAACCTTGATTTAGCATTTTTGACACAGCAGCTCTGGGTTCTGGTGCATTTTAAGGGCCTCATAGCTGATAAAGGCCCCTTCCAGACTCCTGTCCAGTGTATGCCCTTGGAGCAAATTCTACTGCTAACAACAGTGGATGTGAATTCATAGTTCAAAAAAATCTCCCTGATAATTCTGAATCTGGTTGGCCCTTCTTGCCAGATCTGATTAGGCTGTCCCCAATTTGCTGCGTGGCGTTCCTGCCCGAAATATGAAGTTAGCAGTTGGTGACGCCCTCTGCTGCCGCCCCCACAAGATGGAGTGAGGAACACTACCCTCCGCAGGGGGGGGTCTTTGCAGGACTCAATTAAAGCTGTGGTCAGAGCGCTGTCTCGGGGCTGGAATCCGGCCGTCAGGGCTGGTCTCTGCACCCCCTCCCGCCCCTGCTCCAGGCCCCCATCAAGACCAGTTGACAGCAACCACCACCCACACAGGGCCCGGGAGGGGACACGGGTGCCTCTGGGGACAGACTCTGCCTGCCACAAGCCCCAACATGGCGCAGCCCTCCCGCACACCCCCAGGGGTGGCCACACTCACAATGACCCCTGGGTAGTATCCCCCCACGGTCACGTTCTCTGTCCTGGTGGTGGCAGCGAGGCCGATGGTCAGGATACAGACGGACGCCACCAGCAGCAACCCCACAAACCAAAGTGAGGTCTTTCTTCTGGCAAACCCTTCTAGAAGGAGGACAAACAGGAACCGTTAGCAAGGGGATGGGCTCAGAGTGGAGCCCAGCAAACAGCACCTGCCTCGCCATGCTGCTCTCGGGCCACAGGCTCCGAGGACCCCAGATCACCCGCACGTGCCACCCCCTCTTCCCAGTTGCCCTGTTTCTCTGGGTGGGGACTCGGGGTCTCCCTCGTCACCTGCCAACCCACCTGAAATGTTTCATCCCCGCTCCTTGACATCCGCCTCCCCTGCCCTGCAGCCCCCACTGCAACCAGTGACCCTCACTCCAGCATTTAGCGCCCAGGTCCCAGAACCCCAGACGATGAACCTCATGCGGGCAGATGGGGGTGTGATTTCCCTGCTCCCTGCCACCTGACACCGTGCCTGCAGGCTAGGTGCTCAAGGGTCCATGCCACCAGGCCTCACCTCCAAACCAGCGCCCTCCGAAGCCTTCATCCTGGCAGCCCACACAGCAGAGGTCATGCTCGGCCACTTACTGAGCGCCCACTGTGTGCAGACCCTCCCCCGTCCTCGAACCCCACACGCCTGCCCTGCTCCAGACTGTAGGGGGGCCTTGCACTCAGCAGGCCACTCTGCTCCGTGCAGTGCCACCCAAGCTGTCCCCACCCACCATCCACCCCCAAGACCCTGCTCAGTGTCAAACCCGTGAATGGCTACATCATAAGGGGAGGCAGAAAGGACTCAGGAGCGCATTGGAGGCTGCCACTGCCCACCCGGACACCCATCCCCTTGCCTTTGTTAACAGCCTGTTATTGGATGCAGAAGTGTGAAGGGCACATCCTACAGCCTCTGCTCCAGCTGTACAGTTACATTCTTGCCAAATAATAGTCCATCTGTCTGTCTGTCTGTCCGTCCAAGCAAAGGATGCCCCATAGGCCCGGCAGACATCTCTTAAAGGAGCCTGTCCCTTGCCTTTCTCCCTGTCATCCTTCCCACTGCCTGGAATATGAGCAGAAAGGCAGAGCCCCAGGCAGCCATTTTGGGCCATGAGGGAACCTTGTGCACAGAGGCAGCACTTGCAGAATGGCAGAGCAGGAAGACGGCCCTGGTTGTTACCTTGGAACTTGAGCAGCGGATAAAGTCCCTGGACTACGGCTGCTACCTGGGATGTCCTGGGGTTTGTAGGCAAACCTAATTCCAGGTGGCACAGAACTCAAGAAGGCAGCCAGAAAGGAGAACTTGCCATTGCCTGGCCCTCCCTCAAGTCTCGAATTCTGGGTTTCTCATTGCCCTAACTTTCTTCCTTGTGGTGTGTCTCGGGGAGGCAGGGAAGCCCCGTTTACAGCAACCACCCCCCTGCCCCGTACCCCACCAGCAGCAGCCACACCACGGAGACAGTTTGCCGGGAGAGGCCAAGGCAAGACTCCACTCCGAGCCCAACCAGGCTGTTGGCTTGTGTTTTGTTTTATGATGGTTTTTTTAATGTTATTTTTTTTAGAGATAGAGAGAGATGGGGGAGAGGGGACAGAGAGAGAGGGGGAGAGAGAGAGAGAGAGAGAGAGAGAGAGAGAGAGAGAGAGAGAATCCCAAGCAGGCTCCTCACCATCTGCACAGAGCCCCATGCAGAGCTCGAGCCCACCACCCTGGGATCGTGACCCGAGCTGAGATCAAGAGTCATACACTTAGCCCACTGAGCCACCCAGGCGCCCCAGGCTTTTGCTTTCTGGAAGCTTAGCCATCTTGAGCCCTGTGATTCAGAACCAAATCAGGATGCAAGGAATACAGGTCTTTGCCTGCACTGAAGTTCTTCTGTCAACACTGTGTGTGCTCAGTGGGGGGCCAGCTGCACACGGGAGTTTGCACGTGTGCTCTGGAAGGTTTGTGCCTGAATTTACAATTCTGTGGCCCTGCCAGCAATGCTCAACGGCCAGTCAAGTAATGACCAGGTGGTCATGCGCTCAGACATGAACTACACAGACAAAATCACTGTGCAAGCTCAGGCAACGCGCTTCTCTTGTGCCGTTTTTCCTAACTGGAGGTATCGCATATCTTACGCCCAAGACCACCAGCCAGATGTCTCAGCGCCTGTTCCCGCCACAGCACAACAACCCCCGGGGCCTTGTCCCTTAGCCCCTCAGTGGCACCAATGGCACCTGCCTGCAGGAACATTGTCAGATCCACTAGTGACACTCGGACACGCTGATGACAGCGGAGCAAAAAGCTAAACACGTCTCCTTCGGGATGGTGGTCATCCCCCTGAGGCCCATTCCATCATGGTCTCCCGAGTCCGACTTTCCCTCCAAGGCTCAGGCCCTCGAGATGCTGTCACCCCACGGCATTGCGGGGACAGTTAACGGGAGGCCGAGGACAGCGGCCCCACTCATGCAGGGCGCCAGAAAGCGTGGCTCCGGCCAGCTGTGGTGTCTGGACTCGAGAGAGGCAGAATCCTGACCTTATAAATACAGGAGATAGCATAAAAACAAGGGAATGAGAAATAAACTCAAGAAGAAGGCAGGACATGTTTACAATTACCCTACAACACATTGTTAGATCAGGTTTCAGAGACGAAAGGGTTGTGCACTACAGGAAGCCCCCAGTGCCCCGTGGACCACCCCTGGATCCTCCTACCCATCAGCAGGGCCGTTAGTATGTGTGGTTACAAATGGCGCACCCTCAAGACAAACATCTGTCCAGTCTGCCACACCCAGGCAGCCTCCCGGACCGGCCGTGTGGTCTCGAGCTGCCCAGAGGAGAAGCCCGTGGGGTGGGGGCTGTCTGGCCCGTCTGCCGCTGGAGCCTGTGCCTGGCTCAGACAGGCAGATCTGGAGGCACCAACCTCAGCTTCCCGATCTGGAAAGTGGAGACGATGGCAACACCTGCGTTAGCCGCCTCCTAAGGGCCGTGCGGCCCCAGCGCGAGGACCTCGGGGAAAGCCCCCCCACTCCCCACTGAGGTGAGCGGAGTGAATCCATCAGCCAGGGCGGAGGGAACAGTAGCACAGTCCCGGCTCTAAGCTGGCTCTCCAGCTTAAGGGGAAGGCCACCAGCCATCTCTGCGTGGTGCTCACGTCTTTCCCTGCCTGTGTGTCCATCCCTCCTAGAGCATCTGAGCCACGTAGGCCCTCCCTTGCCCCGCACCCCAGCCCCAGCCCTCTCCCGAACCATGGCTCCCGTGGCAGTCTGGCCACGTCTAGACTGGATGGGCTGCAGTTCCCGTCACCAAGACGGTGTCGGGGGTGGGGGGAGCGCTTGGAGGCCCCCCCGTCACCGCCTCCCTGCCAGCAGGGCCTTGGTGTCCCAGGGAGAAGAATGTGCTCACTTCCTCACGTGGGGACACCCAGTCACAGAGGCAAAGAGATGCCCCTGTAACTAGACCCAGGCAGAATGGCGTGACTCAGCCATCAGCTTCCCACTGTCTGCTTTGGCATCTGACACACACCAGGGCGCTGACTGCAGAAACATGAACTAGGAAATACCTATGAGGCCACCCCGGCCACACTAAGGTTTAGAATTTTTAAGTAAGAGACCAACTCCTGGTATTACTTTCTTAGTTTATGATTTCTCATCAGAAGAACCAACTAAGTCCAAACTGTTTTAAACCATCACGTCCCATTAGCGTAATATGTGATGATGGCTAGTTAGACCATTGCGTCCCGCTAGTGTAATACATGATGACGGTTAGTTAAGAACAGGCATCATTACCATCACTAGTGAGAAACCTGTCTGGAGGACGAAACGCATGGGAATCAGTCTGCCGCAGAGCACTGTGCCTTGCAGACGGAGGTGCAGGGCCGTTCTTTCAAGAAGCCAGATTCCTTGGCTATTATTCAAAACTCAAACACCACTAACTCATCTGGTTTTTAGTAAGACTTTCCAAAGATGCTGGAGGCAGCAGAAGCCACTGGGTGTGTGTGGGTGGGGGGGACGGGATCACCCATGGGGGGGAAACAGCAGGAGGTGGCTGGTGTCCCCCCCTGCCCCCAGCGTCTCAGGGAGTCCTCCTTTCTTTTCTTTCCAAACCTTCCCCTCCCCCCTCAGGAAAACACACCCGCATCCTTCCAGGCCTGGGGCCTGTCCAGATGCATCTGGGCTTGGTCCGGCCAATCAAAGAACCCGGGGTTCCAGGACTCGTGGGCCAGAGGATGCAGGGGATTGGAACGGAGCTGCACCAAACCATGAGAAGAAGCCACCGGTTGTTGAAACAAGTTCTAGAAATGTGTGCAGGCTGAGCTAGGGCAGGGGAGGCTGAGGGCAGTGTGGGTGTCAGCTGGGAAGTGGGAGCCTGCTGTCTGTGGTAACGGACGTGGGAACAGACAGGGGAGACCCAGAAGCTGAGACAGGCAAGCAGGGAGAAAGGGCAGAGCCTGGCCAGGAGAGAACCCGTGTCAGGACAAGGTCCCAAAGGTGAAGCCCCAGGGTTGCTGGAAGGAGCTGTGGACCTGGCCTTTACCCCCCCAACCCCCACCCCAGCCCACGACCTGCCTGCATGCTGGTACCCCCTCACCTGTGTTGTCCAGCAGGGCCAGGGGCCCAGGCACCGGCGGCTGCATCTCGGGGGAGAGCACTGGCTCTGTCTGGTTGTGGATCAGTGAGGATCAGTGTCCAGGAGCACCGCCCCTTCTCTGTGCTCAGACCGCCTCCTTCCCACCTGCGCTCCCTCCCTCCCCCCTCCTCCCACTGGTCCTGCATGTGTGTCTTGGGGGGGGGGGCGTTGCTGAGGGCCTGAGGCAGACCCACTGGATTTCTGGTCCCCCTGGATTTCTGGTCGGTGCACACAGGTCACAGGCTGCAGAGGGGAGGGATGCAGGGAGGCCACACTCAGCCCCCTGTTGGCCCACCTGCCCCAAGAGGGCTCCTGGGGGCAGCAGGGACCCACTTCTGCTCTTGCCCAGGGGTGAGCTCTGGAATGAATGAATGAATGAATGAACGACGCATAGGCGCTGCAGGCTCCTGTCACGCCCCCACCCATTCACCTTGGCCTGCATCACACTGCTGCAGAGTGAGTGAAATCTCCAGGTCGGATGGGAGCTGCTGGAGGAAGGGGTCCCAGGACCCAGTGCTTCACATGGTGGTGAGGAAACAGTCTTGTAAAGACCATTCATGCCATTTTCAAATGGTCCCAGCAGGAGTGAGAGGCACCCAGCCTTCCCGGGAATTAGGAGAAGGTCATCAAAAACAACCGTGTGTCGGGGCACCTGGGTGGCTCAGTCGGTTGAGCATCTGACTTCAGCTCAGGTCATGATCTCACGGTCTGTGAGTTCGAGCCCCGCGTCGGGCTCTGTGCTGATGGCTCAGAGCCTGGAGCCTGCTTCGGATCTGTGTCTCCCTCTCTCTGCCCCTCCCCTGCTCATGCTCTGTCTCTGTCTCTTTCTCTCTCAAAACTAAATAAACATTAAAAAAAATTAAAAAAAAAAAAAAACAACAACCGTGTGTCTTTTCACTCCCATGTTGTTGGCAAATTGTTGACCGTCAGGCAGGAACTTCGCAGTAACACCGAGTAACATGGACAGGACGTGGGGCAAGGACCCTCGTTCCCTGCTGCTGCACTGACTTGCACCATGGCCCCTTGGACAGCGACAGGCAGGAAAACAGCAGGTTTGTACCTACAACAGGGCAAACAGGGTTCCCTGCCAAAGGACCTGCCCAAGAGTCAGTTTCTGGAGCCAGGACACCCGATCCAATCCTCTCAAGGCGTGTTTTAATTACTGCGGTCCTGAGCTCAACCCCGACCAGTGACTCCGAATCGGTGGGAGTGCGGTAGCTGTGAAGAAGGCCACTATTCTACAGGGGCCGTCGCCGTGATGGAGAGACACTGCACACGTGTGCGGCTCGATGCCCCATGTACATCAGCACAGCCACGGGCACAGCCTAAACGCCTACACCAGGACAGGGCCGTGCTCTGACGCAGACGTGGCACTCCACTGGTGGTTGGGATGGATCGGTACGAGGGCCGTGGGGCAACAATGAGGGCTCACGGGGTTGTGGTGAGTAGGAAGCCTTTATGTGGTGTGTCTAAACCTGAAAAACAATGGTCTTCATTCACTGATCCTCTCAATACACATTTGCAGAGCACCCACTGTATGCTAGACATGATCTGTGCACTCGGGAAGCACTGATGAGCCAGTAGACAAAGATCCGAGGGAGCTAGCGTTCTCCTGGAGAAGAGATGCCGACTGGTACATGTGGGAAAGGAGGCAAATGCAGAGTAGAGTAGAAGGCAGTACCCGCTTTGGGAAAGGGGAACACAGACCAAGCAGGGAAGAAGCAGTGGCAGGAGCCAGCAGCGATTACGTGGTCAGAGTGGGAGGTGAGGGCCAGACCCAGACACGAAGGCTGGGAAGCAGTCAGGATTTCTGACACCCGTGCAGAGGCCACGGTGAAGTGGACAGGCCTGGGGAGGGGGTGGGGTGGGCAAAGACACCAGAGGGCTTACGGGCCAGATGGAGGGTCTCAGGCGTTGCCAGGCCCCAGGCTCTGCTCAGAGTGACACGAGGGCCACCAGCCAGGTGTAGAAATACCACCGCAGGGTGCCGTGCAGCATGGCAGGTAGAAGCAAAGAGCCCGGTTTAGGGGGCTGAATCCGCTGAGACGTGACAGCAGTTTGGGCCAGGTGGGGAAGTGCAGGCAACGAGCCACAGCCATAGCAGCCTCATGCTGTGGACGTGCAACACCATGGCGTCCGTGTACATACAGACGTGCCAGCCCGAGGAAGCGTGGACGTGCAGATACGTGAATGCCACGTAAGCAAGAACAGTTCCAGAGCAGTGTCCCCACTCGTGTGGGAAACAGATGGCTTTGGGAACCACGTCTAGAGACCTCTGACTCCACTTGCAAAATCATATGTCTTTAAAAGGTTGAAAGACTTGAAAACAATATGGCCTCCCTAGACCCCAGTTGTGAGGGACGGCTGGGAAGGTTGAGGGAACCACGACATTGCCATCAGAGGCACAGAGGGAGAAAACGGGAGCTGCCAGAAAAATAAAGAAATTCAGAGACCAGAGAGTAAAAGGAGATAACACGCTTTTACTGACTTCGCTAAACATTCTGCAGTAAATATTGACGAGAAAAAATAGCCATTTTTAATGGCGTAATTTACTGAAATATAGAAAGATAATCAGAGGAAGGTCTGCCCTCAAGTGGGACCAAAAGGCGCGGGCTCCCCGGCTTCCGGGGCCACGAGGCACATGGTGCTCCCACAGAAAGAGAGCCCCCCACCCCGGGGCTGCAAGCGTGAGCTGCTGCTGGGGTTGCCGTTTTAAGTGAGGCAACTGAGGCCTAGAGAGGTGAGGCAAGCAGCACGCGGCCACACAGCTGGGAAGTGGCAGAGCCGGGAGCAAAGCCTGTGCCCACCACCCTGCAGGGCAACACACTCCGCGGTTTGCTGAAAATATATTTAAGATGTGTGTGTGCTACCAGACACGATGGCCTTTTCCGATTGACGGGTCTATACAGGCAACTTTGGATGCCGATTGGAAATGGGCAGGTGTTTGAAGTTCTTTCACGGCTGCGAGAGCATGGCTAGGAAGGGCTCTGGAAGGCGCCCCAGCGCTCAGGGGACTGCAGGGCATCCTGGGACAACCCAGGGCTGCTCCCTTTTGCAGGTGGAGACACCAAGGTCCCAGGAGCTAACTGGGTGACCACAAGCGGATGCAGAATTCTTCCAAAGGCTGCGCACGTAACTGCAGGGAGGGTCAGAATTCATTCCTCAGACCCCTCCCCACCGGGAAGCGTCCACCAGTGTCACCACCCAGTGTGACAGGTGCATTAGCTCCCGTGCTGACTGCACCAATGACAATTGTTTACCTGCCTCGACCTGACCCAGGGGCCTGCAGCAAGCCCACCTCTGCAGGGAGCGACAGTCTGGGATCTGGGAAGTTTTTGATCTTTTGTTTTTAATGTGACGGAAACATAGAGCGCGAGCAGGGGAAGGGCAGGGAGAGAGGGAGACACAGAATCCGAAGCAGGCTCCAGGCTCCGAGCTTTCAGCACAGAGCCTGACGCAGGGCTCGAACCCACAAATCATAACCTGAGCCGAAGTCCAACGTTTAACCCACTGAACCACCCAGGTGCCCCTCAATTTTAGCTTTAGAACCACCCTGTTTGTGGTTTTTTTAATGTTTATTTTTTAATGTTTATTTATTTCTGAGACACAGAGAGACAGAGCATGAGTGGGGGAGGGGCAGAGAGAGAGGGGGACACAGAATCTGAAGCAGGCTTCAGGCTCTGAGCTGTCAGCACAGAGCCCGGCGTGGGGCTCAAACCCACAGAATAGGAGATCATGACATGAGCCAAAATCAGGCACTCAACCGACTGAGCCACCCCAGCGGCCTGGAGAGAGAGAATCTTAAGCAGTCTCCACGCTCAGCAAAGAGCACAACTGGGGGCCTTGATCCCACAACACTGGGATCATGACCTGAGTGGAAATCACGAGTCTGATGCTCAAACAAACTGAGCCACCCCGGCACCCCAGATCAGGGAAGTTTTTAAATGTAATTTAATTGAGCTCTCACTAAGACAATTAAGGGGAAATCTGTCCTCTTCCTGTCTGAAGATAATCAAGGGACTGGACAAATTAGTAGTGACATTAAGAAGATAATTTAGACACATGCACACACCCACCAGGAGCTCTGAGTCCTAGGATGTGGCCGTGCCTCTGAGGAAGACCCAGGGCAGAAGGGGGGGTGGGTGGCAGCCCCACAAGAAGGCAAGGACAAGGATGTCACACAGCAATAACCGGGTGACAGTGATGGTGAAAGGGAAGCAACAGAGGAACAGTCAGAGAACCTGAGAGCCCGGAGTGCCAATCAGCAGGTGAACTGCAGAAACCACAGGAAGGGCCCTGAGTCAGCACAGGCGGGTCCGGCATCGGCAATCCAGTGCATGGGAGAGCCACACAGGCTCCACAGCCTGGAGTCCCTGAGCCACAAAATCACACGTGTGAAAAGGCACCGTATTGTCCCAGGTTTTTGGAAGCCATAGTTCAAGACGTGTGAACTTCATTGGACGTGGGGGTCTTGACAGAGACTGCCTTTGTGGGCTGTTTGCTGTGAAAGCCGGGAGCCAGGAAGCCAAGACCGAAAGAAGGAAGGTGGGATCCCCAGGGCAGGGGGAAGGGGCCCCCAAGGCCACTCTCAGCTTTCTATCTTCTGCATCTTCTTTGTTCCCCAAACCCCTTGGACGTACAGCACAGCTTCCTGTCCGTCCATCCTGCCAACCACCACCCCCAGAACCATGGTATCTTTTGCCCTTGACACTTGGGAGCTAAGGTGGGAACAGGGGAACCTGGGTCAAAACTGGGAACCTCGGGGGAGGGGGGCACTCGGGGGGTGGGGAGAGAGGAGGGGACTCAGTCAGCTGAACACCCGCCTCGTGATTTCAGCTCAGGCCATGATCTTGAGGTTCGTGGGTTTGAGCCCTGCTTTGGGCTCTATGCTGACGGCATGGAGCCTGCTTGGGATCCTCTCTCCCTGTCTCTCTCTGCCTCTCCCCCCCTCTCAAAACAAATAAAAAAGTAAACATTTTTTAAAAATTGGGAACATGGTTGCCAGCA